TCACTTCACACAAAAATCTACCCGCGTGAAAATCAAGAGGGTGAAATACAAGGCATCAAAGTTGGCAATAATAAATCAATTTCATAAGACGTTTCTTATTCACAACGAGACGAATACTGTGCCAAGACATCGATAAAGTTTCTCTATAGAAATTTAACAAATATCCTGTCCAGAATTCAAGTACTTCCCTTCCCGCTTCCGTCCATTGAATCTCGAAGTTAAGCGCATATTTTAAAGTATACTTCGCGCGAAGTATCATCGATCAAAACGGGGAATTTCGTTTACAAACTGACAGTCTCCCGCTTCCTCTGAACGATCGTGAAAAAATGTACGAAACGACCATTGATGGATGTAACGCGATGAATGTTACTTACAACTTAACCTATTACTGATACTCGTTTTGTAACTTGGTACACAACTTTACTGATGTGTTATAAAATTAAAGAAAGCATCGTGGACAATATTTATTTTTCTTCAAATATTTATTTTATTTTAAATACTTGTTATTTTATTTCTAATATTTGTTATTTTATTTTAAGCACTTCTTACTTGATTTTAAATATTTGTTATTTTATTTCTAATATTTGTTATTTTATTTTAAGTACTTGTTACTTTATTTTAAATATTTGTTATTTTATTTCTAATATTTGTTATTTTATTTTAAGTACTTGTTACTTTATTTTAAATATTTGTTATTTTATTTCTAATATTTGTTATTTTATTTTAAGTACTTGTTACTTTATTTTAAATATTTGTTATTTTATTTCTAATATTTGTTATTTTATTTTAAGTACTTGTTACTTTATTTTAAATATTTGTTATTTTATTTCTAATATTTGTTATTTTATTTTAAGTACTTGTTACTTTATTTTAAATATTTGTTATTTTATTTCTAATATTTGTTATTTTATTTTAAGTACTTGTTACTTTATTTTAAATATTTGTTATTTTATTTCTAATATTTGTTATTTTATTTTAAGTACTTGTTACTTTATTTTCAATATTTGTTACTTTATTTTAAATATTTGTTACTTTATTTTAAATATTTGGTATTTTATTTTAAGTACTTGTTACTTTATTTTAAATACTTGTAGCTTTATTTTAAATATCTGTTACTTTATTTAAAATAATAAATATTACTACCTTTATTAGGTTGCGTTGTCTTACCTATTTAGTTTCAGTTTACAGTTCACCTCATTCATTTAAAATAATTAATGTTACTACTACTGTTTTGCAGCGTTGTTTTGCCTTTTTAGTTTCAGTTTACATGAAACTAAACATAACCCGAAATATAATACAGTGTGCCGTGTTACAGTTTAAATTTCAATTATTGGCCCCCTGTGTACGTATATAATGCACGTATTTCTGCGGACATTTGCTATGTGTATATACATATAAGATACCCGCATTTAGGGGAACGGTCATGTACAACTAGGGACAGTAATCTGGAAACTCCCTTAACAGTATTAACATTTCAGGGACGTGCTTGAACGGGATTCTGAGGACGCCAGAAACCGATCTGCTACGGATTATATCAACCACAAGGGATGCTACCGAGATGACACCCGAAATTCGACCAATGGGTTTGTACCGCTCCATCATTATTCTTGCATTTAACATTTGTCCCAAACCAGTTCCATTTCCTGTTTTCAAGATACTACTCAAACAAAAATACATATATTTATTAAACCCTTTCACCCTAGTACACTCGTAATGCATTTATGGTTCAAGCATGATTTCTACTTTTAACTTGAATTTTCACTTTGGTTCTAATTATAATTTACATAGTCAAGTATCCTTGAATACATAATATTTTGACTCTTTGATGCAGCAGCAATTTGTAGCATCTCTCAAAGACATTACAGAAGGTTAATATCTAAATTACTGACCATGTTAAAATGACCTACAAGCTTCTTATTTTAAATTGCTGAGGCACTTTAAGGTGCTTTTATTGAAGATAGACAATGAAGTATAAAATGTTAATAATAAGGAGTTCGAGATAAAACACTAAGGACAAAGAATGAAGGTTGAAGAATTCAGAATAAAGAATTGAACATGAAGAATGAAGCATAAAGATTTGAGGATGAAGAATTAAGGATAAAGAATGGAACACAAAGATGTAAATATGAAGAATAAAGCATAAAGAGTTAAGGATGAAGATTTAAGGATAAAGAATTGAACAAAAAGATGTAAACATAAAGAATAAACCATAAAGATTTAAGGATGAAGAATTAAAAGTAAAGAATCAAGGATAAAGAAATGAACCTAAAAAATAAAGAATAAAGATTTAAGGTTGAAGAATTAAGGATAAAGAGTAGAAGGTAAAGAATTGAACACAAAGAGTCGCAACCAAGAGTTAAAAATAAAGAGTTAACAACAAAAGTAAAAGACAACAAACTCAAGAAAACGAATGAAAGCTAAAAACTTAAGAACAACGAAAGAGTTAAAAATGAAGAATCACTAAAAACTAAAGAATAAATTTGACTAAAAAATGATTAAGAAAAGTATCTGGAATAAAAGTCCTCAATTTACTATCGCAATGTAAATTTGAAATGTCCACGGAGTCCTTGTTATACGATGGTAAAGCGCCAGCGGCGATGTAGTACATGATCTAGTAGAGTTCCGTGAGCAAATTAAATTAGGAATCGTTGCCGGAGGGTACGGCAGCACACAGAACGCAAATTGTTTGGTTAAGCTCACCGTCCGATTATTTTAAGCAGCGCTCGGTGCAGTCATCGCGAAAACGCACGCGGCCAAAGCTGCAAATTAGTTCTCGTCGCGAAGTTCGCAACAATGCAACGAGGTTTTCCGCCGTTAACGCGAACACGCGATCAAAGGATGCGAGGGCCCTCTTATAAACTTGTTCCTTGTACAAGCTTTAAATTTCTATTTACTTTTACGCCGAAACTTTCCCGCTTCGAACAGGCAAGAGGAAAGAGTAAATGGCTTTTCCTTCGCTTGACGCGCCGACTAAGGACCAGCTATTATTTACGAAACTTTCCTCTCCTTATGTCTCTATCTTGCCGGTCTGATGGTTCCATTAACGAGGTATGCAACGAAAGGAGCTTCGAACGTTTTTTGCCCCATCAACGATGTATTACGTGTCTTCGTTGCGGTGAGCACGCATCTACTTTAAACGGAGCATCTCCGTTCTCTGAATTTCACAGCTTTCCTACGTTCGACAAACTTTGTACTGGGTTTTAGTAAGATGTACTGTTACTTAGATACAAACTGTATGTCAACAATGTCCATACATCACTTTCGTGTCAATTAGTCCGATGAACTATGAACGATGGCGTGTGGCTATACAAAATAGTAAATATAAATAATTAAGCTACAGTTGAAAATTACTGAATGACTGTACTACAGATCCATCACTACTGTGACATCCGTACAGTCTCACAACAGTATACATATCATATTCCTTAACTTTCAACATGTCTAACGAGAATTTCTGAAATAATCTAAAGTAGCCCTCCGAAGAAATCAATGAGTCATTAATTAACGAGCGAAGGACACTCGATCTTCAGGGAATCTGTTCTAGAATGTGGTATTCAGGCATTAAAAAAGAAGGCTCGAAGCCTTGAACGTTTTATATACGAGAGATGAACGAAATCCATTAGGGGATAAATTCAGCTTGCGTAGAAACGCAAATGTTTTTCTCTTCTTTGTGGCCGCGAAAATTCATCAGCGTTGTCGACGTCGTTCGCGTTTCCGCTGCAAATGGAAGCGAATCGGTAGTGATTTTTTTTCCTTCGTTCCTTTTTTTTTTTTTTTAGAATGTTCAGGCAGTACGTGACAGCTCTGTAAAATGTGTTTCTCGTTAGGATGTACTTGTGCGCCGTAATTCAGTATGATCGAGAAACTGTGACGTGATTTATTACGCAACAGAGAATCGTTCCGGAGGAAAACAAATCTGATAACAAGCGGGTAATCCTGCTTTTATCGCTTATATTTTTGTGATTATACTTTGGTAATTAATGGGGTATTATTTGGGAGAGAAGGGATACGTGTGAAGGTGTTATTAGCGGGAGGAAAATGTGGATTTAATGTAGGTGGCTTGGAGGATATAGTGTGGTTGTGAATTAATACAAGAATTATTATTCTAATTGCATATTTTGGGGTTTTGAAGATTCTGGGACTTCCAAGCTGTAATGTTTTGGAATTCAGGAATTTTTCAAGCTCTAAAAGTTAAATTTTAAGAGTTTCAATTTTGAGGTTTAGGAATTTTTGAAGTTCAGGATGTTAGAATTGTTGGATTTCAGAACTTTGGAGTTCCTAACAATTTGTGATCTTCAACCTTGGGATTTTCAATATTTTAGGGCCTCGAATCATAGAATTTTTTAATTTCGACAACTCAGGATTTTTATAGTTTAAAATTTTGTAATGTTCCAACTCTGAAATGTTCGAAGTTTAACCCTTTGCACTCCTCAATTTCTGTCACCTAACAACTCCTTTATTTACACGACACATCAAAAAAGGGGTTCTCAATAAAATGTATTGTAACAGTGTGAAGTATGTGACAAATTTTTCATTTACTATAAATAGTAATTAAATGAAAATATACAATTCAACCAATCTATTTATCTGAATCATTTATAAGATCCAAGAGAAATGTGATGTCGAACTATACTGAACATAGGAGTGCAAAGGGTTAAACATTTTTAATTCTGAGCATAAAAATGCTTCCACCCTTACTCATTTACGATCACGCTATATTCTCCAAACTTCCATCAAACTACATTACAACAGTTCCATAACCCATAATTATTTAACAAATCTCATTTCTCATCTATCAATCGAAAAGTTTTCACCGACAAAAAAGTTTGACAAAGTTCGGCATTACGAGGATTAATCACGGTCACTGATGTTTGACGTATTGATCGCATCGATCGCGTGTTCCCCGAGAGAATCGAATTTCAGGCGAGGGGAGGTGTATAACAGCCGAACCTCTTGGATAATTAGTTTGATCGAGCCTGAACGTTACGCCCATTGCTTACCTGGAGATTGGGCGGGCAATGATCGAGGAGTTCCAGCATGTGCCTGATGTTCTGCGCGTCCTGAATCACGAAGTTCAGTTCCATGTCAAATTCACCGCCCACCAGCTGCGAACAGAATAAATTGAATGTTATTAAATATGTCGTGTGGCTCGCGTGATAAAACGATTGCATTAAATACGACTAAGTCCGATAACTTCGTCCAACTTGGATAAGAAAAAGTTTTCGTGCAGTAGCATTCGAGTTATAGAATTTTCTTTAGAAACTTCTTAGAACTTGCGCCAATTTTATGGAATTCGCCGTGTTCTGTCGATGTCCGGTTTTATGACTTTCGTTTAATTAAATGACCGACGGGAAGTAGAAAAATTCTAAAGACTGTTTGAGTGACGACTTAAAACTGTTTTAAACGCGTAGTAATTCCACGCGTGGTATTTCGACGCGTAGTAACTCCACGCATGGTAACTCCACGCGTAATAATTCCACGCGTGGTATTTCGACGCGTAGTAATTCCACGCGTGGTATTTCGACGCGTAGTAATTCCACGCGTGGTATTTCGACGCGTAGTAATTCCACGCGTGGTATTTCGACGCGTAGTAGCTCCACGCGTGGTATTTCAACGCGTAGTAATTCCACGCGTGGTATTTCGACGCGTAGTAACTCCACGCATGGTAACTCCACGCGTAATAATTCCACGCGTGGTACTTCGACGCGCAATAACTCCACGCATGGTAACACCACGCATGGTATTCCAACGCGTAGTAACTCCACGTGTGGTATTTCGATGCGTAGTAATTCCACGCGTGGTATTTCGACGCGTAGTAATTCCACGCGTGGTATTTCGACGCGTAATAACTCCACGCATAGTAATTCCACGCGTGGTATTTCGACGCGTAGTAACTCCACGCATGGAGTTACTAAACTGTTTTTAACGTGGCACATTGTCAAATATACAATCTGATTCAATTTTAGGGTCTCAAAAATTAGGGGTTTAGTGGTGATATGTTTGATTTTGAGTGCACAGAATTTTGCATGAAAAGCAATTTTTTTTGAGGCGAAAGATTGACATTAAATGTAAAACTGTCGAGTTCTGTAAAATATGTGCCAGGTATAAAAAATGCGATCGCGGAAATCTTGTATCGAGACGATAAATCGCTGAAACAGTTTACGAAGCTGCGTATTTGCGGTGTCCCTTGCGAAATGCCTTACCAGGAGAACCGGAAGCCCTGTCTCCATGGAGAGGGCGTAATTTCCGGGGAAGTATCTCGTTCTTTCTCCTCTCCCGAATACTGGCATATCGATCATGAATTGCTTATATCTATCGAAGCAGTGGCCACGAACAATTTTTACGACCATCGTACCAACGTAAAAATTCATGAATAAAACCGGATCGTTTATAGAATTGAGAGCTAAGCATATTCGAAAACCGGAAGGCTTATTGAAATAAAAGCAACTTTGGAGAAAAGCGGATTTGCTGCAAGCTTCCGTAGGAAAAATCTTGAGCTGCTGGGGAAAATATTGAAAAGAAAAAACTTGATGTAGACTTCTTTTGATTAGGAGTGTAAGAGAAACAGGTATCATCTTTGATTTTGTAAGATCTTCGAGTAAACTCTGCAATTTCTAAATTTATCTTTAAATTTCGATAATGAACCTTTTCAATGAATTCAAGCTTTCAAAATTGTAATATGAATATCAATCTTCCACAATATTGAAATAGTGGAGCATATTGAAAACAGAAGAAATATGAAAATAATGAAAAAAAAGAAAGCGAGTAGTGGAACGCCCCAATTTTCGTGGAATATGTTCAAGGTCTTTTGCGAATAGGGTCATCTAATCTGATTTTCCTTTGGCCCGGTTCGACGTATAGGGTTAGATAGAATTTTCGGTCAGTCATTAGTGTTGCAAAGAGAAAAAGAATTGGATTGCTGGATTGGGATTCGAGCCCTAATGTCATTTATCGCTCGTCTGTTCCACCGATTCGATCCAGGCTTTGATCGAATTTTCTTTCCTCCCTAAAAACTTATCTGCTATTCGCGGGATTATATACTTTCTATCGATCACAAATTTCTACGTGGTTCAATTTCGATGCTTTTTCAACGACTGGTCTGATTAATGTAACTTCATCGTGAAGAAGAAAATGATCGGTTTCTGCTGTTGTGGGAAAAAGTATAAAACCCTTAGGAAGCACGAACAAGGGAACGGTGATAAAAGATCATTGCAACACTGTCAAAAAGTACCAGTGGTGTAATTTAGCAAGTTAGCAAGATAAAGGATTGTAACACGGTGCAAAAGTAGTAGGAAATGTAGCAACTTACAGACTGAGAGCACCACTTACGGACTAACAAAATAAAAAATTTTGTAAGATAAAAACTGACTATGTTTCAGGTCAATGTTGCTCTAAGATTAGGTTTAAATTACCTGACGACGTAAAAATTACTTCAACTGACTTCTACAAAGTGATTAAAGCTATAAACACGATGTCCTTGTAACGTTTCAACCCTATCTCCAACCTAACAGTTAATCTTTTACCAAAATCTCCTTAACTTGACAAAATCTCATCTCTTATCTCCTGCAGCCATTTTGCCACATAACGAAGATCGATACATCTACCCTTTATTTTTCACAGTACCTCCCCAGTATACGATCTGAGATATCTCGAAAGGAGCAACATCTCGAAACTGGTCATGGCGTCGAACGTGATATCGTTGTAACGGCTCTTCTCTAGCAATAATACCGACCCTGCTTCTGTACTCTGAAATTTATTTTTCCAAAAGGGTGCTTCTGACTACGTGACAGCAAAAGCTGCGAGTCACTGGCGCTTTATGGGGCGCCAGAAGAAACACCTGCGAAAGTATGGTCAGCGTCCGACTTTTACTGGGTTTTCTCTTGCACGTAATACATTTCAAAACTTTGTACTGAAGTACTTTTGTAGTTGAGAAAATTTCAAAATCATGAAGTTAGCTTGGAAATTTGAGGAGCTTAAAATTTATCTTTGTGAGAAGTTTTATGTATTTATGATTATAAGAGTTGTATGTACTTATCATTATAAAAGTTGTATGTATTTTATCATTATAAAAGTTGTATGTATTTTATTATTATAAAAGTTGTAAATATTTATCATTGGAAAGGTTGTATGTATTTTATCATTACAAAAGTTGTATGTATTTTATTATTATAAAAGTTGTATGTATTTTATCATTACAAAAGTTGCATGTATTTTATTATTATAAATGTTGTATGTATTTTATCATTATAAAAATTGTATGTATTTTATCGTTACAAAAGTTGTATGTATTTTATTATTATAAAAATTGTATGTATTTTATTATTATAAAAATTGTATATATTTTATTATTATAAACGTTGTAGGTATTTTATCATTACAAAAATTGTATGTATTTTATCATTACAAAAGTTGTATGTATTTTATCATTATAAAAATTGTATGTATTTTATCATTACAAAATTGGTATGTATTTTATTATTATTGTAAAAGTTGTAAATATTTATCATTACAAAAGTTGTATGTACTTTATCATTACAAATGTTGTATGTATTTTATCATTATAAAAATTGTATGTATTTTATCATTACAAAATTGGTATGTATTTTATTATTATTGTAAAAGTTGTAAATATTTATCATTACAAAAGTTGTATGTACTTTATCATTACAAATGTTGTATGTATTTTATCATTATAAAAATTGTATGTATTTTATCATTACAAAATTGGTATGTATTTTATTATTATTGTAAAAGTTGTAAATATTTATCATTACAAAAGTTGTATGTACTTTATCATTACAAATGTTGTATGTATTTTATCATTATAAAAATTGTATGTATTTTATCATTACAAAATTTGTATGTATTTTATTATTATTGTAAAAGTTGTAAATATTTATCATTACAAAAGTTGTATGTACTTTATCATTACAAATGTTGTATGTATTTTATCATTATAAAAGTTGTATGTATTTTATAATTACAAAACTTGTATTTATCATTACATAGTTCAACTAAAAAAAATATGTAAAATATCTAAAAATAAGTGTGTTTGAACAACGTCGTTTACCTCGCCAGAACACACTGATAGCCATATTTTTATAAACATTGTTTCGCTCTAGCAGTCAGTAACTAGTTATTGATATCAAACAGAACCATACAATGTGTCCGAAAAACAAAAGTAAGGTTCAGTTGTTTGTACTGGTCGACCGATCTACCTCCGTAAATTGATTGGTATAAAACAAACAGAATCGGACGACCGAATTGTTTTTTTACGCAAATAACGTGGACGAAATTTCCATAAACAACCAATCTACACGAAGGGATCACTCTCCTAGGGGAACAACCGCTTCGACAGAGAACTGCTCGAAAAGGAGCAAATAAACCAACGTGACTTACGATTTCCACGATCGATAACGTACACGATCGTACGTGTGCACGCATGTGATGCACGGGTTAGATCGTGTGTGAACGATTCAACCGCGCTCGCATGGGGACTCACGGGAAAATGGAGGCATAAGAGGAGCCAGAATGGGATTTGGTGAATTAGGACCGGTCAACAGAGCCAACCGCTAATTGGATACCACTTGCTTTTACACCTTCTATGTTCTGCCAGTCGGAAACACGTGCTGAATTTGCGTATTCGATATGCCTATATAGGACTGATTTAATTTTCGAATTAAACACGCTTTTAAATTAACAATAGTAAACGATCAACTAACGTGTACAATCAATAACTTTGATAACATAATCAGGAATGTTGGCTTTACATGTTTGTAACAACCTGTGCCATGGTAATTCTGTAGACCTCCAGCAATGTAAACAATTAAACACTCAAGTTTTTCAGGAATTTATTTTCTACAACATATACAATTTCTAGTAAAATACAATAGAGTCTTGGTGCAATTAAACGCAGCACGATATTCAGGTTTAATAAATTAACAGCTTTGGAAAACCGGTTACAAGCTCCCTCAAGCTACATTATCGTAAATAATACATAGCCTCCTCTCGCTTTACTCGGTATTATTACTCTCTGATAACAATGGAACAGCATCTACTATCAATCATTTCCAGAACGCATGCATGAAATTTAGCAAATGTTAAC